GCGGAAGAGGGGGCGAGTATATAACAAACTATATTTTGAGTGGAAATGTTGGGGGGTCGTCTTATACGCCGGGTCGTCTTATACGCCGGCATATACGGTAATTGCAATTTCGAATGTCTTATAACGGCAGTATAACCATTTCCTGTCATGGAACTATGGGCAATATAGGGCTATAAAAAAACAATGTCACCAAACAGTGAATACATAAATAGCAACATGACATAGTGGTGAGAACCCAAGCTGTAAAAATCCATCTTTGAACTGGGCAAAGTTCAAGAGTTGTAAAAATACAAATATTCCACGCCTATCTTTGATGTTTGTGTTACATTTGTAATTTCCTTGATGTCAGGTTTTATTAGAATGATCAACCTTGATTGACAAGAGGAAATGTTAGGCAGTTCCTTTTTGGTCCGGATTGCTAGAAAATCCCCTAAGTGGAAAAACCAGATTTTTTGGAGTTGATTCCCACTACTGTTGTCAAGGCCAGGCAAGGTTGAAACTAATCCAGAGGAGATTCAACCTGGAAATAAGGAGAAATTTTCTGACAGTGAGAACAATCAACCCATGGAACAGAAGTTGCCTTTGGAAGTTGGGGGAACTTCATCATCGGAGGCTTTCAAGAAGAGATTGGACTGCCATCTGTCAGAAATGGTGTAGGGTCTCCTGCTTGGGAGGGGGGGTTGGACTAGATGACCTACAAGGTCCCTTCCAACTCTGTTAATCTATTAAATCTGTTAAATTATTTTCCTTGCACACTTTCTGGGTTGTGCATTGCCAAAATTGCAGCAGTTGCAGCAGTGAGAAATTGGAGTTGATTTGGGTTTTTGACTTGCAATGATTTGTTTAGCAACCGTCCAAAGTTTACAGCCACACTAAAAATAGAGGCTTAGGATGAGTCCTTGACTTGTGACTATTGCCACATCACCACGGTCTTGTATCAAAATCTGGATGCTTGGCTACAAGAATGTATTGAGAATAGTTGCAGCATCCTGGGGTCACGTGGTTCCCCTAACAACTGCAATGGTTTGTTTAACAATCTTGGCAACAAATGTTGGGTTTGACTCACTTAATTTAGCAATGGAAATTCTGGTTCCCCACTGTGTTTGCAAGTTGAGGACTATTTGCAGTTCAGAGAGTGCCTAGAGTTTCTCATCTCAGCAATCACCACCATTCTATTCCAGGTTAGATCTAATTAGATCTTAATAGCAGTAACTGTGAGAGGGATCTTGGGGTCTCAGAGGACAACCTGCTAAATAGGAGCCAGCTGTGTGTAGCAGCAGCCAAAAAAGCTAAGGCAATCCTAAATTGCATGGAATCAAGATCAAGGGAGGTACTAATACCACTCAATAAAGCCTTAGTGAGACCACACCTAGAGTCCTGCGTCCAGTTTTGGTCACCACAGTATAAAAAAGATGTTGAGACTCTAGAAAAAGTGCAGAGAAGAGCAACCAGGAGGATGAGGGGACTGGAGATTAAAACATACAAAGAATGGTTGCAGGAACTGGGCCTGGCTAGTCTAGTAAAGAGAAGGACCAGGGGAGACAGGATAGCAGTCTTCCAATAATTAAGGGGCTGCCACAGAGAGGAGAAGGTGGTCAAGCTATTTTCTAAAGCACCAGATGAGGAATAATGGCTGGAAACTGATCAAGTAGAGATTCAGCCTAGAAATAAGGAGAAATTTTCTGGCAGAACAATTGAACAGAAGTTGCCTTCAGAAGTTGTGGGACTGCCATCACCTGAGACTTTCAAGAAGAGATTGGACTCCCATCTGTCAGAAATGGTGTAGGGTCTCCTGTTTGGGCAGATGACCTACAAGGTCCCTTTCTAACTCTGATGATCTGTTATCTGTAATTGCCTGCTTGTGCCACAAACCGTTTCAAAGGATCGCAATGTTCGCCTAGTCAAAGATGCGACCGGTTTCTGTCTGTTTGGGTCTACCTGAGAAGATCAAAGCTGCGGTGGCGATCCATCGGTGGAAATCCACAGCAGAATCAAACGGGATGTAGCGATTGAAGAACGTTTCTCGCAGGAAGGTGATGAGGTTCCGGCACATGGTGAGTAAGATGAAGGAGTACATGAAGGAGATGCTGGCACCAGCCCCCCGAGAGATCAAGATGCCCACAAAGGTAGTGTCAGCAATTCCGGTGGGCGGTGACGCAAATCCATAATCTGCAAAGCAAACGGATTGAGTGCTGAAATTGTGATGAAACCCTTCATTTTGGGTTACTCTACCCAAAACGACCAGGGGTGGGATTCAAACTTTTTAACAACCGGTTCTGTGGGTGTGGCTTAGGTGGTGAGCATGGCTCGGTGGTCATGTGACTGGATGGACATGGCTTGGTTGTCAAGTTATTGGCTGGGCATGGCCAACTCAATTCACTCACATCGAGGCACACATCTCCTCGCCTGGCCTCTCATGACTGTGGGGATGCTGCAACAGTCGTAAGTGTGAAAAATGGTCATAAATCACTTTTTTCAGTGCCATTGTAACTTTGAATGGTCACTCCACACAAGCAAAGTACCAGCAAAGGAGGGGAAAAAAAACTCCAGAGAAGTTCCTGAGCCAGGAAGTCTAGTCCTGCCAAGAATGTAATAAGGGTCAACGGAGAGGCAGTTTCTGTCAGCAACACCAGAATGTTTCCTTCCTGCCTTTCTTACAGGATTAGGCCAGTAATTTCTTCTAACAACCGGTTCTTCAAACTGCTTAGAATATTAACAACCGGTTCTAGCAAATAGGTGCGAACTGGTAGAATCCCACCCCTGGCTGAGATCCGGTGGTGGCCTTCAGGAGACCAAGTCGTGCTCCGAAAAGGAGGGTAGACTCGGAATAAACTCAGTGGGAGCAGGTTACAACCCAACTGGATTCAATGCTACTTCTGTTTCAATGTGAGGATTGGGAAATTAAATGGAGGAGGTACCATTCGTAGGATTCCTCCATGTTCACCACCGTCTATCCAATAAAAACGACCATCCAAAAGATACTTTGGGAGAAGCTCTGGGGGCCCTTGGGAAAAACTTTGGAGGAAGTCCACCACAGGTCTGAAGCCTCAAGATACATCTTGCCTTTCCATAAGTGCATTTCATCTCCAACATGCTCAGATGATAAACATGCTTGCATGCCCCATACGAGGCATGGCAATGCAACATCAAAGAGATCCAAGAGATAAGGGAGCACATAGTGATGTGTACAGATTTGGAGCTCCTCTCCAGATCTCTACCTATGTGTCCAATGGCGGGGGGGAGGGGTTAGGTTATGGTAAGATTGCAAGGAGAATACTCAGGTCTTCAATGGTTCAACCGCAGCCAGGAATGTTATGAACCATCTCCTGCAGATCTGAGCCACTAAAACAGCCACTATAAAAGCCATACCAGGAAGTTTGGCAACAAACCTCCCTTGTTAACCATTAATGCAGCTCTACTTGCAGCTCTACTTGCAGCGGGAGTGTCTTGCTTTACACCTGCGTTAGTCTGGGCTGCAAGGAGATACGTACGTGGTATGCTTAGTGGTGGCTGCATGGAGACGGGCACCACTCCTGCCTCATGGCACGAGGATGCGGAGTTCTGAATCAAATTAGCCGCCTCAACTCTTGAGCTGAGCAGCCGGTTCGGTGGTGCTAAGTAGGCTGGTAACTCACAGTATGCCCTTTCTACAAAGACGCCGGCGGAGATGGCCGAGAATATCACCACGCAGATAATGTGGCGCCGGAAGTTCTCAATGAACCTCTTGAACTGCTGGATCTTCTGGTGGATTTTGTTCCTCTGGTACCGCTCCCTCCGTGCCTCCGTGTAGAGATGAGGTTCTGGGAAGACCAATCTGGAAAATGGGAAATCATAGCTCAGGAACATCTTGACTGGCAGGGCAAATTTTGATCTGAAGACCATGAAAAGAAAAATCTGCTCTACAACAGGGGTCTCCAACCATGGCAACTTTAAGACTTGTGGACTTCAACTCCCAGAATTCCTGAGTTAACATGACTGGAGGAGGAATTCTGGGAGTTGAAGTCCACAAGTCTTAAAGTTGCCAAGGTTGGAGACCCCTGCTCTACAACATCCTAAAACAGATTCCACAATGTTTCAGTGAGTGAGCCAGCTTTAGGTAAATGGGGATCTACTTTGCTTTTTGTTAGATCTCTGCAACCAGCCTCCTGATCTTAAAATATCCCCCAGAGGTACCTTTGCAAGGGAACAAGACCATTTTAAAGCACATGCAAAACCTAAGGATTTGCCAACTTGGTTTCATTTTCCTCCCATAAATGCTTTCCTGATATATGAAGAACAATAGCAGGAATTGGGTGTGTCTAGTTTAATGAAAAGAAGGACTAGGGGAGACATGATAGCAGTGTTCCGATATCTAAGTGGCTGCCGCAAAGAAGAGGGGAGTCAACCTATTCCCCAAAGCACCTGAAGGCAGGTGTTGTGGCTAGCTGGCAGCAGGTGTGGATGGCTGAGGAGAGCGAGGACTCAGATGAGGGGCCAGGACCATTAGGGAGTGGACTGCTGCCTTCAGAGATTGTGGGGGCTAGCAGCAATGATGAGGAGGTTCCCGAGGAGCCTGTGCCAAGTGCACCTAAGCACAGGATTGCTCGTAGGAAAGAGCAGCTACAACAGCACGGGCGACTCGGGAGTAAGGCTGCAAGGTAATGGCTCCTCCTTCAAGAAGATAAAAGCCAGCTGTGAAACAAAAGTTCTTTGCAGAAGGCAAAGATGTTTTGAAACTCCAGCCTCGTGGACATTCCAGTATCCTGAATTTATATTTGAAGATTCTTGTATTGCAAATTATTTCTTGTCTGTTCTCTTTTGGCAAGTCTCGCACAGTTTGGCAAGGCTTGTGCTTATCACAGTTCATTATTTTGCAGAAGCATTACAAGGTTTCTGTTCCCTTTGGATTGTGTTTGATTTGTTGGAAAAGGGCATGGACAAGAAGCAATGGATGGGAACTCATCAAGGAGAGAAGCAAACTAGAACTAAGAAGAAATTTCCTGACAAATCGAGCAGTTAATCAATGGAATGATTGGCCTCCAGTAGGTGTGGGTGGTTCATCATTGGAACCTTTTAAGAAGAAACTGGACAGCCACTTGACTGGAATAGTATAGGATCTCCTGCTTGGGCAGGGGATTGGACTAGATGACCTTCAAAGTCCCTTCCAACTCTGTTTTTCTGTTATACATTGATAATTTCTTTCCTCATAGCAACTTGAGCTGGTCTGGGAAAGCCAACCCCATTGCTTCTACCCTAGTATTCTACACTTCTGGTTCTTAATTTGGGGTGGAATATCCAGAGGTGTTTAAGCCTCCTGAAGCCATCCTGGAACCCCGCATTTTCACTGCTCTCACGCCAATGGCATTGCTATTGGTCTTTGCTGCTATAAAGACAGCAGTGATACTTGGATTTGTTTGAGAGCCTGTTCTTGCTATGTTGCCTGGAAACTAACCACATATAAACAAGCCAACAACAGAATGGGCTATTTATAATGCATACATTGGAAATAATAAAGATTGGGTGAGGTGGATGCTGATAATTGGCATCATTGGCACCCAAGGTCACTTGATAGTGAGATGGGTGGCATAGACATTTAATAATCAATCAATCCATAAAATCATACAAGAGTAAACTGCAAAGATAGCTAGTTGAAGGGTGTTTACACTTTTATGGAACTGACAGTGGTTTAAATTCTGAATGTGTACACTGGAGTTGAATTATGGAGATTAACTAGGCAATAGAAAGAAATTTTGAAGTTCTCCAGACTTCTGAATCTCTTGTAGCTTCTAGCTCAGTTTCCTTCTGAAGTGTCTGATTCTGCTATGGTATTTATTTATTTAGCGTATGGCAAATACATGGCCTTACAGTAGTTTCAAATGTTAACGTCCAGTCCATCCAGCCATTCAAGGACAGGATGGTCTATGTTAAAAAAATATATCATACATTGGGCCAGTGTGAGCTCTTGATGGACGTTTGGACACAATGTGGTGGATATTTTGTTGAGGAGCACCAGAGTCATACTGAGGTTGGGTGGGTAGAGACAAGACCCCACTTAAACAATGTCTGCTATGGTGATGAATAACTTGCAGGAAGAGAAGGGTGATGACCGCAGATCTTCACAAATATGATGAACTCCTAATGAATACTATTCCTCCTACGTAACTGCTCATCTAATGGTCTGACCTAAGCTTAGTACACAAAATTGCCTGCTACAACGTCCTACCTGTCAATGACTACTTCAGCTTCAACCACAATAACACATGGACAAACAACAGATACAAACTCAAAGTAAACCGCTCCAAACTTGATTGTGGTAAATACGACTTCAGCAACAGCGTGGTCAACGCCTGGAACTCACTACCTGACTCTGTTGTTACATCCATTCAAACCCCCAAAGCTTTAACCTTCATGGACTAACTGTCTATCATGGACCTCACTCCATTCCTAAGAGGTCTGTAAGGGAGTGTGCATGAATGCACCAGCGTGCCTACCATCCCTGTTCTCCTGTTCCCATTTATTCATACTCATTTATTATGTATCTACTTATACCCGTTTATACTTATATGTTTATATGTTATGTTCATACTTATACTTGTTTTCTCAGACATGCTTGACACATTAAACTAAATAAATAAAATAAAAATCTAGTTATATAGATGCTGTCAGCATTCTAAGTAATGCACCCCTAGAAAGCAGAACTCTGAGGCAGGTAGATTCCCCAAAGACCAATTTATTGGATACATCATATTGGTACAATGGGTGAAAACCAACTCTGAAAGTTCCTGCAGCTTTCCCCAGTTTAAAGGGAAAGTTCCTCCTTTCCCACAAGTCATCCATTACATTGTCCAATAGAAGTGTTGACTCGTTGCTTGGTTACTTCCTCCTCCTCCTCCTCCTCCTCCTCCTCCTCCTCCTCCTCCTCCTCCTCCTTCCAGCCACTTGTTGAAATGTTTCACAGGAAACATTTTGTTTTGGCTACAAACCCCCCAGTTATCTATTTTCCTTCCCCTCTCCTTCCATCCAGCGGCAACCCTGAAGCTGTAAAGATGGCCTCAGCCAGGTTCACTTCAGGATTGACAGATACTTTTACAGGAACAGAGATGAATTGGCCAAAAAACGGGATTACCTGTGACCTGCCCTTGAGTTCCTCAGAAATATCTATCGTGAATTAGCATAAATGTCTTCTTGGCTCTGATCCAGCATGGCTTCTGCTTAAGAAATGGTGCCATTCCAATCTAAACTCTACACAGGTATTATTTCATTTCTATTTTTGATTCACTAGTTCCTTGGAGCCTCCAACCCTTCTTTGGTCCCTCATCAATGTCTCTTGTGTTTGGAGAAGGTGGTAGGGTTAAGATGGGCAGTTCATCGTCCCACTTTAGAATGACTTTCTTTGGTCCATTATTACACCTTTCACCTACTTACTTTTTCCCTTGCCTTTTCCGTAAGTCCTGTCCTATTCCTTCGCCAGGTAGCCAGTCTGAACCCAGAATCAGGGGATTCTTTCGGGTTAGGAGAAAACTGTAAGGGAGAAGATCATCAGCTTTTAAAGAGGATACTCGGTCTAGGATGCTGGAAGCAAGCAAGGTGCCCTGACGGTTTGATCATACTTTTTAACTCTAAAATCACCATGAAAAATGCCAGCCAATCCTTTTCTTTCAAACATTTTAGCTTTACATTTTCTCTGGGGTTGCTTTTCAATTTCAAGGGTGGAGCACCAATTTGACTTTGCTTGTCTACATTTCAGTAGGGGAAAAAAACCACAACCTCCTTTTTATAGGGAATGTTTTTTTTCCCCACCCAAACTCTATCTGGGTTATTTTAAAGGCAGGGCCAGTCCTAAATGACACATAATTCATTTTAATCTCATTGTAGCATCTTGCATTTGGGACTGTGTGTATCCTATTAAAATCTGATTTACTGCAAATTGTTTTGAATTACGGCGCAATTTCAAGTTACATCAAGCCATCTAAAGATTATGGCACATATCCACCAAGCAGAATATTCAAGCCCAGGCAGGGTATTTTGGCATCGGAGGCACTTCTTCTCTTCTCTGGCAAGACAAATGCAGAATTTCTAAATCCTGTCTTTGCATGTCACAATCATCTACCTGAATCACCTATTTTTCTCAACCCAGTGATAGAGCTGGCTGAAAGTAGATTTCCCTAAGTGTAAATGTTATTCTCTAGGAAAAAAAGAAACTCACAGAAGGGAAGATATGGCTATTAAAGCATCCCTTCTGATCTCTTGTTTCTGTCTGTGGAAGTAACAATTGTAAGACTTCACAAGAGGTTCTTTGTGAGGTTTTCAGAATTGGATGCCTTTCACAATTAAAATGCAGAAGAACTTGATGGATTTGTTGAAAAAGCGGAAAAACTTTTAGGTTATCACCTGGGAACTTCTAAGCTCCCTTAATGTTTAAAGTCTTAGTGAACTACTATGATATTTAAACCTTTTTACACTTAAGCTTCTTCTAATGCCATTTTTACAGCCTCCAGTTGGTGCAATTCAGCTTGTTATCTATTTTTTTTTTTTGCAAGCAGGACAATATAAAAGTTTCAAAAACGAATGTTTCATTTAGCCCTCACGGTTTTCTATATTCATTAATAATACATATTGATCCCCATTGTATGAATATTTATTTCCTTTTGCATTACTGGTTACTTGGTGTTCACAAGGATTGGGCAGAGTATGGGAATGGTAAACAGGCCACAAATCTTTGCGAAGAAACTGTGATTTGTGGTTGAGGGCAAAGTGGGACCTGGGTCACATCTGAAATCCACGCAGGTTTAGGCAGGCTGCATGAGAGAGTGAGTAACTGGGAGATGGCTTACTTGTTATCTTGATCCTTGTTAATGAAGGACACACGATTGATTACATTTTGTTTGAGTTTCTCAGGAATGCCTGGGAGGAAGATAGAAAAGAAAGTTCAATAGGTGACCACCAAGGACTTAGTAGAGAATGAAAAAGAAGGATAATAGTTGACTTTATGGGCATTCTGTTGGTTTCTTTCCTGTAGTGTCAGGTCCAAAACCATGAATAATGCATGAAGATTCTTCCAAGTTGAGTTCTTTTAAGGGTTCACACCTAGAGACGGAATGTTGCCGGTGTGAAGACTCTACTATTTGCACCTACGATATACTTTGGCAACTATTAGGGAGAAGCCATGTCCACCCTCTTTCTTTTATACATGATATCTGGGCTGAGTTGCCTCTTATTTATCTGGAATACACCCTTCCCTCCTGGGGATCCACTTCCTCATTCCGTTCCATTTCATATATTGACCCAGAAGAAAAGGTGGCACAATATAATAAGAATGAGAATCTCTACTTCCTGAAGATCTTGAGCCAGAAGTATGGCTTCCTAACTCTTACCCAACCAGAAGGCTTTGTGTAAGCTTTGTGTTCTGGATTCTGCTGACCTTTAATGCAAAGTTGAGTGCGCTGGAGTGCATTGTCATGATCCCTCAACATGTAGTGAAAATCCTCCCAAGTGAGTTCTTCCTTATCCTGAAATCCTGCTTCTTTGAACAAGGATTCGATAACCTGTTCGGTCTGATCCCCTGAGAGACAGTTGTTAGAGATCTCAATGAAGGATCTAGAGGAGGAAATAAGAAATTTTGAGCTAATAAGTCTCAAAACCGGGTAACTGAAGAGGCTATGGCAAAGTCTTGCTTGAATTGAAGAAGGTGGTTGATAGCACATCAATTTAACTCATGACTCATATTAACTTACAAAAACTGTGGGTTGGATGGAGACACTGGCTGAGCTTGGTCTACAATAAGACCAGTCCTACTCTGCAAATCTAGGGAATTATTTTCCATGGAGCTTCACCTCCTCCAAAATGTTGGCAATAGACCCATAATGAAGCAAAACTCTGAGGCAGGTAGATTCCTCAAAGAATAGCTTTGTTGGAAATACATTGGCACAGATCTGGTGAAAACCGACTCTGAAGGTTCCCGCGACTTTCACTTAATTAAAAGTTTGTCACTTTCTCAAAACAATCAGATGGTCCAATCACAATCTGGTTGCCTAGTGACATTACTCCTCCTTCCTCTGACCAGGTGTGAGAATGTCCTTGGTTCCCAAGAGAAAGTATTGTGTTTTGGCTACACAATCCCAGCTATCTCAAATCCTCCCTCCCTATCCCTCAGCTCCAGTGTGGCAACACGGAAGTTGTCAAGATGGCTTCGATCAGGTCAACTTCAGGGTTGACAGCTGGGCTGTGCATTGTGAGGTTGTGCTTTATTGTTGGTGTCAACGTTCCCCCAGATGTATACAAGCTGAATTTCAGGTGAGGAACCAACCAGAGGTACAAGTTAGCATTCTAGCAAATGGAAATTCTACCATCTCTCCACCAAGAATTTGTTACAATAACCAAAGCAAGCAAACCAGCAGACGATACCTCAGCATCCGAAAAAATTCTCCTTTCGAAAGGAAGCCATTTCCGTCAATATCGTACATGGCAAACATCAGCTTGGACTTCTCCTGGGGGGTTCCTGGTTGAGAGAGATAGAGAAGAACACAAAACATGCCCCATCAGCACAACTCAGCCCCCAATATTTGGAAAGATCCTTGAAGCCCATTTCTTGATTTTTGCTGACAATCAGAAAGGAAGGAAACACTTAGTTCTGAGATGATCAGTGTGTTGAGTATTCAAGGAATACTTAAAATAAATAAAACAGAACAGATGTTATTGTAGCAACTCAAAAGTTCATTGGATTGTGCTGATAGATACCCAAAAAAAATCTCACTACTCTAAAGCTCATTGTGTTGGCTGAAAGTTTAACACAATTCTCACACTTCCAATGGGTCAAGATTAAGACTCTACTACAGGTCTCTACTATAATAGTGGCAACTTCTTCCAATCTTTAGGTTTTCCAGGAAGAGGGCAAAGGATCCTGCCTCCTTTCACCAACTCCATCTATTTGCTTCTGGAACTGAAGGGGAAGACCTCTATCATCTTCCATCCCCTTCATCATCAGTGGATGGATAAATGGATATAATATTCCATTGGGTATTCATAATTCCGTTGGGTATCAAATATTAGGGTTGCCTACACACAACATGCTTGACTTGTTGCGTTATTGACTCAATCAATCTTCTTAGGTCACCCAAGACACTGAATCATAAAAAAAAAATTAAACAGAACAGAACAGAACAGAACAGAATAGAATAGAATAGAATAGAATAGAATAGAATAGAATAGAATAGAATAGAATAGAATAGAATAGAACAGAATAGAATAGAAATCTGATGTACACTAAGCACTACGCTTAACTGGTTACAAAAAAAAATGCAGCTTCAAATCAACTTGATTTAGTAAAGTGTATTCTAACCCAAATAGTTTGGGGCCAAACTCTTGAGGTCTTGACCGTGGTTAGTTTTTCCCACCCCTTGCAGTTGAGTAATTTCAAATTTCACCTTTCATAAAGACCACCAAAATGTCCAGGAATTCCCGAAAAGAGAGATATCCATTCCCGTCTTTGTCGGCGAGTGAGAACATGGACTCCACAAATACAGATTGGGATTTGAGACCCAGAGCATCAGCGAACTCGGCCCGGCTCAGTTCACACTTTAAGGCTTCCTTGGCTTTCTGAGATGTTTCCAAATTGAGTTCTCCAGCATCTAATCTGTCGATGTTTAGAACCTAAAAGAGAAAGACCACCAATCACATTCCCACCAGGAAGGAAGTCCACTCACTTTCCACCAGAAAGACAAGGCACTCTAAACAAAACTCGGATAGTTCTTGCACTTGCTGTCCTGCCATGTAGTGATGATGTCACATGAAGTTACAAGAGGAGGTTTTAGATTTTAGTCATTTTAATTGGTAATAAAATCATTCAGTTAGGCAGCATTGTGTAGATGGTGTTATTTCTTGTTCAGCAACATACGTATGCAATTTTCTAATAGACCAGAAATCAATAGAAAATACAATGTTTTCCACCAAGTAAGAGAAAGAAACAACCATTTAAATCAGGGGTGTCCAACCTTGGCAACTTTAAGACTTGTGGACTTCAACTCCCAGAATTCTGGGAGTTGAAGTCCACAAGTCTTAAAGTTGCCAAGGTTGGACACCCATGATTTAAATGGTACAAGTTAAATAGGGGAAGGGGAAAGAGATGTAGGAAGAGGTAGAGGGGGAGAAAGTAGAAGAGGAGGAAGAGGAAGAGGAGGAGAAGGAGAGGGAGAGGGAGAAGGAGTAGAAGGAACAGCTCCCCACTTACCTGAGCAAAGGAATGCCGGAAAAAAATTTCCAGGATTTCTTTTCTCTGCTCCTTGGTTACTGCCTTTTTCAGCAGCTGCTGTTCGCTCATCATGAACACCTGGAGCGTCAATTCATTCCTCTCCAAGTAGGTTTTCAGATGTCCGAGGAAGTCCCTGCACTCTGCTTCTACCTTAAATTGCAACACCTGAGAACAACAGTGAGATGAGAGAGCTTCACAGTCGAGGGTGAGAATCTTTAGACAATTGAAAATGCTCTCTTGTTCATAACGTAACTCCAGCACCTAAAAGGCCACCTTGTTCTACGCTACTCTTTCATATTTTAATTTTCAAGGCATTGCTTCATATATTCAGAATACTTTAGAGGTTTGCGATTTCATCAATGACCTAGTTATTTACAATAGGATCTTCTCCACGGCGACATAGACCATGGATAGCTTTTCCGCCATATACCTATTGCTATGAAACAATTGGCATAATATTATAGGTTTTATGGAAATCATCCTGGTTGCTATTTTAGTTAGTCCTAAGGTTCCTGGGGTTGAAAAGAAGACAGAAAGGCAAGAGGGGAACCTTTCCAGTATATAAATGAGAACATACAAAGTCGATTGTCCTCCTCCCTGGTACATACCAGGTCATATTCTTTAGGAATCTTCAGAAGTATGGTCTTGTTGCCTCTGTTGTTGGACATAATGGTCTCCACTTTCTGTTGGCTTCTGAGGGTTATGTTGCGAACCACAGCCAACTTGGAATCAAGCACTTTGATCACTTTGTCTTCCTTCAGTTGGATGTAGACAAGGGAAGTATCTATCTTGAAGCCGTGCCATTCAAGTGCTGGGGGGAAGAAGACCCCTACGTTACTGATTACCGATTAACAGAGTTGGAAGGGACCTTCCAACTGCACACCAGAACAACTAGACACAAGGACAGTTTTTTCCCCTAACGCCATCACTCTACTAAACAAACAATTCCCTCAACACTGTCCAACTATTTACAAAGTCTGCACTACTATTACTTTTAATCTTCTCATGACTCCTGATCACCCATCCCCTCCCACTTGTGACTGTATGACTGTAACTTTGTTGCTTGTATCCTTACAATTTTTATTGACTATTTCTTAGTATGATTTTATTGCTTATTGTAACCTATGACTATCATTAAGTGTTGAACCTTATGATTCTTGACTCTGACGAATGTATCTTTTCTTTTATGTACACTGAGAGTATTTACACCAAGACAAATTCCTTGTGTGTCCAATCACACTTGGCCAATAAAGAATTCTAGTCTATTCTATTGTAGGTTATCTAGTCCAACCCCTCCCCCCACCCACCCAGCCCAAGCAGGAGACCCTACACCATTTCTGTCAAATGACAGTCCCGTCTCTTCTTGAAAGCCTCCAGTGATGAAGCTCCCACAACTTCTGAAAGCAACTTCTGTTCCATTGGTTGATTGCTCTCACTGTCAGAAAGTTTCTCCTTGTTTCCAGGTTGAATCTCTCCTTGTTCAATTTCCATCCATTATTCCTTGTCTGGCCTTCAGGTGCCTTGGAAAATAGTTTGACCCCCTCCTCCCTATTGCAGCCCCTCCAATATTGGAAGACTTGCTATCCTGTCTCCCCTGGTCCTTCTCTTCCCTAGACTAGCCAGGCCCAGTTCCTGCAAACAGTTCACCATGTGTTTTAATCTCCAGTCCCCTAATCATCCTGGTTGCTCTTCTCTACAGTTTTTCTAGAGTCTCAACATATTATAAGATAGAACAGACTTTATATTAGCCTTGCATTTTCAAACACTCAAGGTTCCCTTCCCCAAAGACTCTTTTATCCTCTTTGAAGACACCTAGGATGGTATCGTTCATGCATCCATTTACACCAATATAACTCATGTCCAAGTTTTCGTTGCTTTTCTCCATCACTCTTCCATCTCCAGGAATGTAAACCCAATAGTATAACCCCAGTGAATACAACACAAGAGTGTGCAATTGTTTTTGATTAGCAACCAGGATAACAATTCTCCAGGAATTCTCCATTTGATTCATACTGTGTTTGAATGGAATCTTGGTGTAGTGGACGCTCGGGCAGAATTGCTCCTCACCTTGGGTTCCTTCAGCAGATACATCTGGATGAGTGGTGGGATTTTGCCTCTTCTGCAACTTACGGAAAGACCTCCTCCGGAAAAAAGCAACAATCCAGGCAACGAAGAGACTCACTGCAGAAAAACCAGCATGAAAAGCATTAGCTGATGTTACAACAGCTGGAGTTGTTCACAAATACCAGTCTTGAGCATTGAGGATAGTTACAAACCAACAAATTCTTCCTCTTAGCTCATGACATTGATAACTTCATGCTACTTTTCTCCAAGTTGATGTCCTTCAAAGCTATTGAGATAACAAATCACGGTTTTCTTCACCACCATGGACAATGGTCCTGCTACCTGCATATCTCAATCAGCTCTGGTGCCACAGCCTTCTACTGATCGTCTTAAAAGTCAGAGGGCATAGTGGAACCCAAAGGAGCTAAAATTAAGGAGATCCAAAGATTGCAGGTCCATACACTCAGTCTCTCAGTCTTAACTTTGTCCAGAGACAGCATTTAAGCATTGTTGGAAAGATGCAGGCTGCATCGCCTAATAAACCACGGATCTAACTTTTGTCCCACCAAGGTTGAACGAGTGATTTTTTTTGGGTGGGGAGGAAGTGAGCAAACACAAACGTTGTACAGTACTTATAGAGATGCTTTATTCCAGTTTTCTACACCCCCCCCCCCCAGGACATTTCAACAGTTGAACTCTATGTTGGAGTATAAAGGAAAACTTCAAACCTGGATGGAAACAAACCTAAAGGCAAGCAGCACAGGGCAGCGATGAGGATTCCAAAACCTGCAGGACTTCCTTGGAAGTAATCTATGACGGTCATCTGTTTGCACGGAGGAAGGCCCTCCAAGTCCATCTGCCTGGGTTGGGAGCATGGATTACCTGATGGGTGGAGAATGCAATGAGACAGGGAACTCCATCCCATTTCATTCTTTTTGTTCCTCCCTCCAGCAAAATTTCTTAAGACAACACAGATACAGTCGCCCTTGCTTTATAACTGGTTGCTTAGCCACTGTTCAAAATTACGATGGACCTCCCCAGGGCTACTTACAGCCTGTTTTCAAAGTTCCGATGGCCATACCCCTTTGCAGTCATGTGATCATGTTTTAGGTGCCTAGCAACAAGCTCATATTTATGGCCTTCGCTGAGTATCTTGTGTGTCAACTAAAAAAAATACTCCTTTGGTCTTTTTAGTTGCCAGCAGTAAGGGAGTGGGGGAAAGCAGTGCATTCCTTAAATGCCTCAGATAATCACTTGGCAGCCGAAGCTGTTGGCGCGCAAGATTATTACTGCAGAGCATGATTGATGACTCTTGGCTATAGATGTGTCTCATTGGAGAATATACATCCAGGGGGTGGGGGGAAGACCAGGGTCAAGGGTGAAATGAACGATGTATCAGAGTTGACTGCAACCAGGAAATGCCGACATGTCAATTCCTAATAAATCAATCTTTTTTACTCTGAGAGATTTGTCTAGAGACTTGTGATTTGAATGGGGGTGCATGTTGGGGCCCTGACACTGTGGTCATGGCATCCTGATTTTCTGCACTTTTCCCTGCTTTCTGGCATTTATGTCCATTTTCTGACAGGTCCAATTCAAAGATCCATCCCTGCACCCACCATCCCATCACGTGGCCCAATCAAATCTTTGTCCTAACTGGAGACATCCCTCCAGGCACTCCTCTCCAGGTGCAGGGTGACTTGTCCTTGACTCTCCAAGAAAGAATGTTGTTGATCTAATCTTCCCTCTCTATGAAATCCCCCCTCTAGTCATTCCCAGGCACTAAATGTGGCAGCCCTGAAGCTTCCAAGCAAAAAACGGCCTCCAAGGCTGACACCCCTCTCTGCAATAAGCAGATATGGTGAGCTGGATTAACAAGCTTTGGATATGAGGATGGTATGTCGTAACTCTGGACATTTCTCCATGCTGTAATAACAAACTGGGGAGATTCGGGCATTCAACACCAGAGCTAATAAAACAGTTCTTGCACCAAGACCTAGAGGAATGTTATAAAAATGTTTACAGGTCAAACTCGCAAGGCAGGACAAGGCCGCATGTTAACCCGGATGCTACACAAAACTCATGTGGTCCATATATTCTCTATCCAAAACAGTGACAGTCCCTGGCTTCAAAAATGGCAGGTGCAACCAGGGGATGGACGCCCCACTTCTCTTTATTGTGCATTGCAGACAGGTATAAATCACCTGCCATTCGGGAACCAGGGACTATCGCTCCAGACAGGCCGTGAGCCTCCAATTTATGCAACTCCCTGCATTCAAAAGACTAGGACATGCCAATATTGAAAAATAAACAAATAAATCCAGCTTTATACTGTGAAGTTCTGTCTAATGAAAAACAATGTTCTTATTTATGTGTAATCCTAAACAATTGTTTGGTGCTTTGTCCAAATCTCTTAGGTTCATTCCTTCCATCCCTAGCCCTACTTTCGATCATGAATCCAGAATTTTCTGCGTGTACTGGGGGGTTATTCAACTCTTGAGATACAGCCTGTCTCCTTTGTCTTTGCTGAAAGATTTCTAATATTTCTAATATGGGTTAAAAAACCATGGATTTGTTCATAGGCACGCACAGCGATGATAGCAAGGGTGGAGGGGGAGAATGAAACATAATTATGCTTCATAATAGCAGCTCTATTCCTTGGATACTTATGGGCAACACTGCAATGGAAGCATGCAAGGGTAAAACTTGTTTGTGATGCCATTTTAATCAGGGATGGAAATGGGCACCAGTGACTATGGTGTTTTGCCTTGATTGGGGGTCTCATCCCATTCACCTCCTCAAAATATGAGCCATTACCCACCTTTTTTCCAGGTGAACACATCTGCTTGGATATTTGTTGTGTACATGACAGCAGCAAGAACACGACTGAAGGTCGTGTTTTTAATGGCCACAATCTCCTCGGAAGTGAATAGTCTACAAAAGGGATAAACAAGAGTCAGCGGGATCTTGAGTGCATTAAGCATAAATACAGTCGTAAGGTTGGGATTCGAATGCCTGCTTAGATCTGGGAAGTTCAAAACCTCATTCAAACTGGCAGTCAGAAGACATGAAGGAAATTCTTTAATTTCACAACATACAGATAGACTTAACCATAGTTTCAACTGGGAAAAATGTGACCATCCCAGAACAAGCCATGTCCAAAAATGTCAGGGAATTTCTAGAAGCCTAGCACTCTGAAAAATCAGCCATCAATAGACACATGGACATTAACAACATGTGTAGACTATGCAAAAGAGACAATCAACCAGCCTCAAAGAGAACAAAAAGACTCCAGCACCTCTCCATCAGTAATCAACACTCAGAACAGCATAGATTAACTTCAAGGTTAACTTTAGACCAACAATCAAGTAAGCAATACCCCAAAACAGAAACTGCCAAAGAGCCATCAGTAAACAGCCCAACCAAAGAATCTCTAAGACTGCTCCCATCCACACAGACAGGCAAGACGCTCCCTTCTAGCTCTGATGACATTACCTAGTTGGGTCATGAAACATCTGCAAGAATACAAGCAAGCTCAGACAGCACCAAGGACCTCAGAATTCAACCTTGAGCTACAAATATCTTCTATCAAAGACCCTGTGTTTGATTTCTTTTTTAACAGATGGGACGAGAACTCTTCCTTTCGGGACTTCAAGGCAAGTTGTTTTCTATTTCTGGAGGAGCAACCCAACTTTAGATGGTGAGAAGGATCCAAGTACTTGACTTGTTTATCCCAATGTCTGCCAACCTTCTCTCTTCTAGATCTATTGGATTTCCATCACCCCTGGTGAGCTTTCTGTTGGGTCTCAAATATGAAATATTTGGTGTGGGTTTGGCAACAGTCACAATTTCTCAGCCCCACCTGCCTTTTCAAGTCGTTGTGAGAATAAAAAGAAGGCAAAGACATCTCACTGTCTCAGAGAAAAGAAACGGAAGGATAGAATCGGAAAGATGGAATTAAATGATGTTCCGATGGGATGACTTACCCATTCTTGGGGTTTTCAAACCAGAATCGGTCTCCATCTCGTAGGCGGACAAACTGGTCCTCAAGGATGGCTCGGAAAAGGGTCTCATTCTCTTCCAGCATCCCTCCAGGAAGCAGCTCCAGGCTTTCAAGTCTGTCCCCATAGAGATCCTTAGTCGATTCAGGGATCTAGGAGCAAAGAGACCATTGGGTTTGAAGGCTGAATGAAGGTGGGCTTGAATAGTTAAAAGAAATGGGGAGATTTTTGTCCCCTTTTTTGGTTTGGTGCCAGGTATAAAATGGGAAGAGGGCCTTGCGGCCAGAATAAAATAAGTACAGTTGGGTAGTAAATGCATTTTTCAAGAGTGAATGGGAGCCATGGTGGTGCAGTGGTTAAAGTGCAAAGTTGCCGGCAAACTTTACCCACAGCTTGGACTTCGATCCTGACCAGCTCAAGGTTGACTCAGCCTTCCATCCTTTAAAGGCTGGTAAAACGAAGGCCCAGATGATTGGGGCAATACGCAAATAATGCTGGCACTGGTGCAATCAGAGAGTGCAGTAAAATGGTCTGGGGAGGTATATACATCTAAATGCAATTGCTATTGCTAAATAGTAGATTCCAGAGCTTTGATCTGGTTCAAATTATCCCCACTGCTTTTGCTGTTTGAACTGGAACAAACCTCCCATCCCTATCAACAGAAGACAGCAAAGAGAACCAACCTGCATTAGCTCCTATTTTCTAACTACTGAGAATTTAAAATATATATATAATTATGTATGCTGATCCATTTCTACAGAGGAATGATGGAGTCTGTCAACTGCACTTCTATAACAGTCTGGTTTGGCTCTGCAACCCAACAAGATGGACACAGACTTCAGAGGATAATTAGGACTGCAGAAAAAACAATTACTACCAACCTGCCTTCATTCGAGGACCTGTCCACTGCACCAGTCAAAAAGAGGGCTGTGAAAATATCTACAGACCCCTCACATCCTGGACATAAATTGTTTCAACTCCTACCCTCAAAACGACACTAAAGAGCCCTGCACGCCAGAATAACTAGACACAAGGACAGTTTTTTTCCCTGAACGCCATCACTCTGATAAACAAATAATTCCTTCAACACTGTTCAACTATTTACAAACTCTGCACTACTATCACTATTAATCTCATCACTCCTTATCACCCATCTCCTCCCTCTTGTGATTGTATGACTGAACTTTGTCGCTTGTATCCTTACGATTTATATTGACTGTTTCCTAATATGATTTGATTGCTTATTGTACCCTATGACTATTATTAAATGTTGTACCTCATGATTCTTGATGAATGTATCTTTTCTTTTGTGTACACTGAGAGCATTTGCACCAAAGACAAATTCCTTGTGTGTCCAATCACACTTGGCCAATAAAGAATTCTATTCTATTCTATTCTATTCTATTCTATTCTATTCTATTCTAT